CAAAGAATGATAATACAAGTCATATTCCTGGACATGTGGAAGTAGCCTGTGGCAGGCTCCAATTTCAGTGCTCATCTTCTTATCAACCTCACCAAACTTGTGAAAGCAAGAAGACAAAAGTACAAACTGTCAGTTTGACTACTGACATATGTGTTTTATTATTTCATGGGATGTAATTACCACTGTCAAGACATTAGCTTTCTGTTTTAAAATGCTAAAATTTAAAAAAAAAGTTTAATAAATGCATGAGAGTCTTGTTTTAGTTATTGTACAGCTCCATGATTGAATTAACATTGGCATTTAAGACCTTAATAATTGATTATTGTCCTCTATTTTTATACTTAACATTTGACAATATTTTGTATTCCCAAATGCAAACGCAGTTTTTTTACAACCTTGCTTGTGTAGATTCAGACCAGATGAAGTTGTTGTATGCAGCATTGTTATCCAGTGCTGTAAATTGAACTTATGCCCGTGAGATAATCGCATACACTGTCCCTAACTCCTGCTATACTCTTTCCAAATTCAAATATTTTTGGATGTTGTATATGTAATTGGTCACTGCTTTGGGCAATGTACAATATATTCCTCCAATTACAATACGTTGAATGATAGATTTGAAATGGTCACTTTTATTTCTTACACAAATTATTGGCCAACGTGGTACAGGGGTAGTTTCTGACAGTAGAATAGTGGGCCCCACTCTTTCTTTAGGTACCCACTTGCTCTTAATGTGTTTAAAAATCATCTTTGGGTTTTCTTTCAGTTACTGATACTACTTCAGGTTTCCTATTTGCTTTTGTAATTTCACCCCTGCACTTTCTATATTCCTCTTGACTTTCAGCAGAATTAAAATCTCAGTCTCTGAACTTCACTCTTATTGCCTTATTCTATACCATATTCTATCTAATATCTAGGGAGTCTAGAGTCGCATGTTTATTCCTGGGAACATATTTGTTCCGAACCCTTTCCTTTTTATTAAATACCTCCCAAGCCCCTGATACCCATTTACTTACCAATTTCTATTTACAAGCTACTTTTGCTAATTCACATCTTAGCTTCATAAACTTGAGCTGACTCTATTGGTGCTGTGAACTTGGTTCTAGCTAATAGAAGATAGTCATCCTTGCTTACCTGCTGCTCACATGTTCCATCTCTGATGCACACTCTTCAGCTGTCGGTAACTATTTTCAGAAATTTGCTTTCCACACAGCACTCAAACTCACCAATGCATTCCTGTAATGTCAACTGCTTCTCAAACTCTGAAACCCTCAGCTTGAGCATTCAGCTACTGATACTTCCTGCACCTGATGGTTCAACAAAACACAAGAAACTGCCTCGGGTTTCCACATGGCACAGTGTATGTATTTGAGAAGTATGCATGGCTTTGCCATTTCAATGTTAGATAACGAGCTAAAATTAACAGAAATAATTTTGGCTCTGACCAGGACAAAAGAATCACCAGCTACTCAGCAATCAACTTAAATTCCCTTACATCTGCGATCTCAGATTGAAGACTGATTTTGTATAAAAAGAAGTTCACCGTCTGAGTTTTTACTCTGTATTACTGATATGAAAGGGTCAGCTGTCAATTGCAGAACTCAATGAATTGAAGTTGGCAGGATGTCTTCTGTTTGTGACAAGACAGAAAGGTGTTACATAGGGTACCCCCCATGATGCAGCATGATGTAAGACAAGCTAACTGATGTAAGATAACCAATATTGGAATTTACCTGATCATTCCACTCATGGGCAAGGAATTGAGTGTGTGATTGCTCTGATTAACCAGTTAGCATCATGCAATTATACAACACAGGAAAAGGTCAGATGACAACTGTTTGAAATTGCAATCTGCTTTTTCCCACTCCAGTCCCTGCCTTTGGATGAGGAGACTGGATTCAAGTCCCGCTTTGGAGGTGTGTAATAACAGCTCTCAATAGGTTGATTTTAAAAAAAAACATACCTCGGTCCAGCATAAAGACTCTTGTGGTGCAGTGGTCGTGCCCCTACCTCTGAACCAGGAGACCTGGGTTCTAGTGCCACCTGCTCCAGCAGTGTGATATAACATCTCTCAACAGGTTGATTAGAAGATAGATCTCAGTCCTGTATTCTTTCTACAAATCTTTTCTTTGGAAGTACCTTTTGCAAATTACTGCTGACCGTGCCTCCATTATCTTTTCTAGTAGTATAGTCCAAATCATAATAACTCATATGAAAAAATTCTCCTCATGTCACCTCTGGTTCATTTCCAATGACTTTATATGTATCCCCATTGATTACCAACCCTCCTGTTAATAGATACAGTTTCAATCTTTACTTAAACATGAGTGTCCAAGTAACAAACATTTCACCAATTTTAAGGTGTTTACTTCTATTTCGACACTCTCATTTTACTAATATTCTAAGTTAACTTTCTCATTATCTGTCAGGCATTTTGTTTTCAGATTGAAAAGCCCAAGTCTGGTTATGACATTCCTCATTATTCTGTTCATGAACTTGGGGATCAGCCTTGAGACTTCTCTCTTACTGTCTCCAGCACTTGAATGTCTTTGGTTGCTCGACAGCCAGTGGTATGATTAAAACATTATAATGTTCGTCTTTATTTCTGCTGCTTTGACAATGTAGTTCAGTATCCTATGGCTCTGTTAGTTGCTGCAGTCAGTTCATTGGTTTATTTGTTTAGATAAAATCTCCTAAGACTTACAGTTTCCTTTACCATTTGCCTTTGCTTTGAACATGTTTGTGTTCTTCCGACTTGTAGCATGCTACACATGTTTGTGTTAAACTAAATCTGCCATCATCTTCCAACATATGTAATTTGTTAGCAATTATTAACAATTGAAGTAAAACGCAGCTCCATGCTGGAATAAAAGGTAAACAGAAGAACAAAGTTTTAGAAATTGACGGAGTGGGACAGCTGTATAAGAAAGTAAATCAAGAAAGCTACAAAATATTCTGAGGTGCAACAGTGGAATTTGTGGGGAATAAAAGTTGCAAAAGGATTCAAAGCTAAAACCAAACGTTTTTACCAGTGTATTTAGAGAAAGAGAGTGATAAAGAGGAATATGGGCTGATTGGGAGGCCGTGGCCTAGTGGTATTATCACTGGACTGTTAATCCAGAGACCAAGCAACATTCTGGGGACCTGGGTATGAATCTTGCCACAGCAGATGGTCGAATTTGAATTCAATAAATATCTGGAATTAAAAATCTAATGATGACCGTGAATCCATTGTTGATTGTCAGGAAAAACCCATCTGGTTCACTAATGTCCTTTAGGGAAGGAAACTGCCATCCTTACCTGGTCTAGCCTACATGTGACTCCAGACCCACAGCAATGTGGTTGACTCTTAACTGCCCTCTGGGCAATTAGGGATGGGCAATAAATGCTGCCTGGCCAGTGATGCCCTCATCCCATTAATGAATAAAGAAAATAAAGATATAGACAAGACTGAAATAGATATTAAGAAAATTGCTGCCTTGTTAGGTTATAATGTTGTTTCTTATTCCATAATGGACAAAGAGAACAAATTGCCACTGATTCAAGTTGGATTTGAAAAATGGGACTTAAGATTGACAAAGCTCCAAGATCTGATGCTATTTTTAATTCTTTAAGGGGACGTAGGTGTCACTGGCTGGGTCAGCATTTATTGTCCATCCTGAATTGCCCTGGAGAAGGTGGTAGTGAACTGTCTTCTTGTGCCACCAGGAAGTGGGAAGTAAACTTAAATATTTAAATAGTCCTTAAATGGTCGTTTAACAGGCTGTTGATGTTCTGTCAATAGTAATGCAGAAGTGGGGGAGGTGGCAGGAGGTCTCCCCATGTCTGTGCGAGTTTCCTCTGGGTGCTCCGGTTTCCTCCCACAGTCCAAAGATGTGCAGGAGAGGTGGATTGGGCATGCTAAATTACCCCATAGTGTCTAGGGATGTGTAAGTTAGGTGGCTTAGCCAAGGGAAATGCAAGGTTCCAGCGACAGGGTAGGGTGGTGGATCTAGGTGGGATGGTCTTCAGCGAGTTAGTGTGGACTCAATGGGCCGAATGGCCTGCTTCCACTGTGTAGACAGTTTATGATTCTGTGATTCTAACACTCCAAGGCACAATTATTTCCTGGAGGTTGGACACGCCTCCTCAAAAGGAATCTGTTTGCTGCCAGCTCTAAAGTTTCTGAGTGCTGGGAGCCATTGGTGGGTCTAGCCCCCAGAATAAATCCTGGAGACTAGAGTCAGATGTGTGCAAGGGAAGGGTCTTAGGGCAGAGAGGGGGGATTTAGGACGATGTGCAGAGGTGGTTTAGGAGTATTGATGGCAAACCCAAGGGGAGAAGAAACATCTGCAGGAGAAAGAACTTGGTGGGGGAACCCATTAAGTTGAATGGAGCTGTTGATGGAGGGGTTCATCCACCCATTCCTCCTGAGACCTGAATAGCGCTCATCCCAGCTTGAGACCTCCTCCTCTCTGCCTTAAAATTGAGGCCAGGCGTGATTCAACCTTTATGTGGTCATTAATTAGCTCAATTGGAGCAAGGTTGGATGTGCCAGTGTAGATCCTGCACATTTCACTGTACCTTGGCAAACGTGTTGAGAGACACCAGGGGGCAGTGGGAAAGGCCATCTGGGCAATCGTACAGAGCTTGTCCCTACCACGTCCCCACCACGTCCCCTCGCTCCTATCACATCCACTCACCTATCTGCAAATCAGCTGGCGGGGGGTAAAACTCTGCCCCTGTCCCTCACCCACCTCCCCCCACCCCCCAACACACACACATACAACCACACACCTTCCCCTCTCTCCTGCCCCTGCAGTAGTTTGGAGCCATGTGGACAGTTGACCACACTTTTTTTTAACTGAACTCATGGAGACTTACTGCTTGGGGACGCGATATTTGTCTGCCATATAATTTTCAAATATGAGCTGCAGAACGTTTGATTACATCGATGTAAGCCTTAAGGAAAAGTTCAAGTTTATTCTAAACACAGCTGATGTTTGTTTGTTTGTTGACAGGATCAGAGTTCAGTGAGGCTGGTGGTTTGGACAACATGTACGACAATGTTGACAAGCAGCTGGATGAAACCTTGAGGAGGCGGAGACATGTCAAAGATGGCAACTACAACATCGAGGTGCTTTTGGGAGTGGATGACTCCGTGGTTCGCTTCCACGGGAAAGAACATGTCCAGAACTACCTCTTGACTCTCATGAATATAGTAGGTGTCTCTAATGCGTCGCAATGTTTGCAAATCTCTTAAATCAGGCAAAATTAAAAAAGAAATCCGAGATTGGAAACTCAAATATACATTGTGGTATGTTGCATAACATTCAAGACCATCTGAGGCATTGGATTTACCAGCTAAGCCTGGGAATGTTGATTAACAATGTAAGAATGTAAGAAATAGGAGCAGAAGTAGGCCATATGCTCCATTAAAAAAAACTGAAAGAGCTGCGGATGTTGAAAAACTGAAACAGAAATTTGCTGGAAAACTTAGCAGGATTGGCAGCTTCTGTGGAGAGAAATCAGAGTTAACAGTTCAGATCCAGTGAACGTTCTGAAGAAGGGTTACCAGATCTGAAACATTAACTCTGATTTCTCTCCACAGATGCTGCCAATCCTGGTGAGATTTTCCAGCAATTTCTGTTTTAGTTTCTGATTTCCAGCATCCACAGTCCTTTCGGTTTTTATGAAATATTTTTACCCCATCTTTGTCTTTAATCAGTGACCACTTATTTTTAAACTAAACTATTTTAATGCAACGAGACTTGCAAGTAAAACAGTATTTGCGTGTGGAATGAACCTCCTGAGGATATGGTGGATGCGGGTACAAATACAATGTTTAAAAGATATTTAGATATTTACATGATTATGAAAGATTTGGAGGGATATGGGCTAGGAGCAGGCAGGCAGGTGGGACTAGTTTAGTTGGGATTATGTTCGACATGGACTGGTTGGATCGAGGGGTCTGTTTCTGTGTTGTATGACTCTATGACTCTATGAGTGGGGGGGTTGATTATCACAGAGGAATGTGGTACCATTGCTATCACAGACATGGCTGAAAGAGGGACAGGACCAGCAGCTCAGTATTCCAGGGTATAGAACCTTGTGGGGGTGGAAGTGGGGAAGGAGTGCTATAGGCATTGGAGAAATGGGGGAGGGTGTAAAGGACAAGGTAGGAGCAACCACTTGCAGTGGGAGACATTCAAAACAATAATCGTGAGAGTGCAGATGGTGATTGTAAAGGTGAAGATTGGACCTTATCTGTTCACTGAACCCTGGATGATAGGGATGTAGAGAATTGGAGAAGGATAAAGAAAGAAAACTTATGGTAGACACAGAAGACTCAAAACAGCAGATGCCCCACAGGAATATAGAAAATGCAGAGGGTTGCTTAAAAAAAAGGAAGTACAAGAGCGAACAAGAGACATGAAAAAATATTAGCAGGTAACAGTAAAGAAAATCCAAAGCTGTTTTATAAGTACATTAAGGGCAAGAGAATACCCAGGGAAGGAGTAGGGCCCATTAGGGACCAAAGTAGTAATATGTGTGTGGAGCCAGAAGATATAGCTGAAGTTTCAAATAAGTACTTTATATCTATATTCATCAGAGATAAATGATATAGTTTTATAAATCAGAGGGGGAAGGGTCTGTGATATATTTGAACAAACCAACATTGAGGGAGAGGAGGTATTGGTAGTTTTAAGGGCTTGAAAGTGAACTTTTAGCCTCGCCCTGTTTACAATGTGTCCCTTTACTTAACTAGCAATGTCTTTATCCCCACCCGAATCCATGATTTTAGAAATTCCTATATTCTTGTTGGCCTTGTATTCTCCACATGGAGAGGCAGGAGTTACAATGACCTTCATCTCCTAGAGCTCCCAGTCCCTCACATTCACTATCAAGTCCTACTCTACAATCTACTTTTACAACACTGAGACAGACTGCCAAACCAAATCAGCAAAACCTACCTCTGTTTTCACAACATAGTAAAATTAAAACCTTCAAAGATCCTCAAAAGCGACTGCAATGCCTCCTCAACAGAATATTTTGAACAAACAATCACAAGCTTTGCAAATAATCAATTGCAGACACTGGTTTTATCTTAAATAAAAGACTTAGCAATTTATTAACAATACAATAACTCTGGTAGAGCAAAATTAAGCAACTAATTAATATAATTGGTCTGTAATATAAACCCCCAAACCTTTGCTTTCAGCTCTATTCACACAAAAATTCAAACAGACAAACAAATACAGTGAAGGGCTAAATAAAAGAAAATAACAAAACTGGCCAGATTACTTAAATGGTTTTCATGATGCGTTGTTCCACAGGCATAAATAATGGGTTCTTAATTGATTTTCTGATGATGTCAATCAGGATCACCTTTACAGTTCATTCAGATAAAGGAAATAATATTAAAAACTTTCTAATTGGTACATTTTCTGTTTGCTGAGCTTCCAAGGGCTGCTAATGGGAGGTTAGAAGAGAACTTTTAAATCTTCATGCTGTAGCACCAGCATCCAGATTCCAGTCAATCTGAAACCCCATTCAAACTCTGAACACTCCCTGATAGACTGACCATCATCTCCACAAGGTCCCAGTCACCATTCAGCATCTTCCATCTGCTTGAGTATAAGTTCTTTTCCAGACTGTCTGGAAGCAATTCCTGGGTACTGACCTCGTTAATAGCCAATGCCTAATACCTGTTTAAACATATTGCTTTTGCCCAGTGATGAAGCACTTGCAGAACCTTTTCAATCAGGAATCAAGCTGCAATTAACTTCTAGGACTGGCTTCACAAATAAACAAAAACTTGTTTGGTCTGTTTTCCTTCTACCACAAGCTGTTACCCATAGTCTAAAAGTCATCTTTAGCTCACAGTTCTCAGTTCACAGCTCCAAACCAAAACTTATAAAAGAATAAGATAAAACTAATGAAAATCAGTGAGGGCTCTAAGACTACAATTATCCCTATCGCTGTCACTAATCCATCAGCAATCCACTGCAATGAAGCTGCAATCCATACTTGAGTTGCTTGCTTTCCTGAGGACTCTTCAACTGCTCTCTTAAAGAACCCCTGACTAATACTGACCAAACTCCATGACTGACTATGACTTATAACTGGACTGATATGACAGGATACCCACTACTGACCACAGCCCACTTCCCCACACTGCAGTCTCAACAGCACCTTGAATAACTTAGCTATAATCTCCCGACTGTTTACACTTGACCTGCAGGAATGACCATAGCCCAAGCCTCAGGTTGCAAGGGCATGGATACTTAGAATTGAGGGTAAACAAGTGCCAGACTGCCTGTGGTCACATTGTTATAGTGATATTGAGCAAGCCCCTTGATGGACTGTAGTGTTATCCCTGACTGACTCTCTCTCCCCTTATTTCGTTAAAGACTGTTCCTATTTGACTTTAACACATAGCCATTTGCTTGAAGCACATGCAGTGTATTTATCACATAAACGGTTGGCGTGTGCTGCAGTTCTAATGGTGTTACGATACAGTGCTGTGCAGCAACATGTTCAGTGCTCCCACTATAACACGCTGCTTGCCTCTCCTGCACTAAAGAGCAATGCAAACCACTGAGTTTGGCTGCATATAGCTAGCTGAGCACTAAAGACCTGTGCTCTAAGAAAACACTATGATCCACACCCAGGCTGACAGTGCTAAAGTCAGTGTGCACTAAGAAAGCGATGTAAAGTGGACAGAGGCTGGCGGCTTCCAAATAAGTGGTTAGTGAGTGACCACCAAGAAAGTAAGCTATGACCCAGAAAATGTGTGTGTCAATGTCAGCACGGACACAAAAGAGACCTGGCAGAAGTTGTACATGTCCCTGCAAAGAAAAGTGTTGAAGGACTGAGATGGTAAAGAGTTAGCCTGAGAGCAAGCATGGTAAAGTGGTGAGGCTGGAGGTTTGTGAATGCTGACTTGCAATGAAGGAAGGTTCAAGGAGGGTTCAGGCCAGGGAGCATGTTGTATAAAATAAGCAGTTGCATGCCTTGGAGAAGAATTTAGTGAGCTGTAGCCACTTGGATTTACCTGGCAGGAATTTGAGCCTTCTGCTTTCTTGAGAGAGGAAAATTGGAAGTGACATGTAAATAAGGTGAGTTGGAATTGTTTTGAGGTGCAAGTGTATATAAATAAGGTGGATGCCATTTAAGAGTGTGATTTAAGGTCTGATTGGAGATAAGGGAGAAAACTTTTCTCAATGTTATGAATCTGACTTTGTTCATTCTCACTTTTCTTGCCATTGCTGTGACCACATCAGTGAGGGGAAAATGCCATCCCTAGTTCGAGACTCTCCAACGATGATTGATAGCCCCTTAACACTAAGCTTATCAAGTTTCTCAGAATTCTATATCACTGAAGCGATCACTTATTTGTCTAAACTCTAGAGAACTTAGGCCCTTTCTACTCAATCCCTCCTCTTAGGACGGCACTGTCATCTCAGGAATTAATCTAGTGAAGCTTTGTTGCACTCACTGTAAGATAAATGTCTCCTTCCTGACAAGGAAACAAAAACTGTACACAATACTCAGGGGTGAGCAGAGGGCACAGAGGTTTAAACTGCAAGGTAAGTTGAATTAAACTCCTGTAGCTTTTTTCAGGTTTACAGAGATTTTGAATTTTTTTTCTGTTTTGTTTAGACATTTAATGCCATTGTTAATAGTTAGTTGTAAATGTGATTTCTAAAAATAATTCTGTTAAACATTTAATGACATTGTTACCCAATAACTCAAAGTGGTATTAATGTTTCTTATTTAATATCCACGATTCTTAGTGAATGAGGGTGGTTAAGTGAGGGAAGTGGGCAAGGGTTGGTACGTTGGCATCTGGGTAGGATGGCACCTGAGTTGGGAGGGTGTTAAGTGATGTTTTCCTCTGGTAACATGAACACTGAGATTAGATTCTTAGTGAGCACTAGTACCAAAAGTTTTATTCATAGAGCATTCCAACCCTGTCACAGAAAGAGTATAGTCTCAAGTTGGTTGACTCACTGACAGATTGCAACGTCTTCTGGACGAGGAAAATCATAGAGTCTCTACAATGCAGGGAGAGGCCATTCTGACCATCATGTCTGCACCAGCCCACTGAAGAACATCCCACCCAGACTCCAGCCTATCCTGTAATCCCATATTTTACCACAGTTAATCCACCTAATCAACACATCTTTGGAGCAGCCAGCAGAAACAGGGAGAACA